ATCTATCTATCTATCTATCTATCTATCTATCTATCTATCTATCTATCTACCGTGTGTGTGTGTGTGTGTGTGTGTGTGTGTGTGTGTGTGTATGCAACACACACACATGTGTGTAGAGGTTTGGGAGTGGGTGTGAGTGTGGCCATGCCGTGGTGTAGGTAAGGAGGTCAGAAGATACTTTATGGAAGTCAGTTCTTTCTTTCTGTCCTCTAAGCCTAGGGATCAACCTCAGGTCCCCAGGTGTGGCAGCAAGCCCCTTTACACACTTTACACAACGCCATCTCTCTGGCCCCTAACCTCATGCTCTGTGACCTTCCTGGCTACTCTATAGTTCACTGGATACAGCAGGATGAGCTGCTCTCTCTCAGCTTAGCCCGTCTCAGTGGTTATATACCCTTTATGGCTCTTTAGTTGAAGCACATTTAAATCATTGAGAATTCTGTGCCTTGGTTGCACTCGCTGCGTTTGTGGTGTTGGTAAGCACACAGAGGCTAGCTGCAGAGCCAATTCCTCTGCTGTGGACGTATCTGTCGGTTAGTGTGGCTCTTCTTCCCCTGTCCTCTGCTTGGCCTCCCCCAGAGCCCTCTGACCTGGGTTTGGTTTCTCTGGAGATTCCTTTCAGTTGAGGTATCCATGAGTCAGTAGACAGGGAAGAGTTCATAGGAATACAGCAAAAAAGATGGAGGTGCTGAAGAAAATATGCGCAGGTGAGAACAAAAGTGCTGAGATGGTTTCTACTGGAAGGAAGGGAGGCTGCAGGGAGTCATTATAATGGTCTATAAATACATTAAACAGATAATGCGTAGGAGACAGCATATTCCCATTAGTCAGCTTAGACTAAGCCAGAAGCATTAAGCTTAAGTTCCTTCAGAAAGGAAAATTCAGGTTATTTAAGGCAAGAGGGTGCAGGGAAGGGGAGTGAGGGCTGCTGCATCTAACGCCAGTCAGGAGCTAGACAAGCTGCCAACGTCTGGGAAGGAATCCTCTTTGCTGGACCCACTCGAAGCTGGAGCTTTTGTCCCATTTATGGAGGATGGGTTTTCACAGTAATGAAATCAATTCTACAAAGAGCAGCTGAGTTGATTAACCAATGCTCTACAGGTTCTTTCCAAATGGAATAATTCAGAGCCTTCCCTGTGGCTGGATGTTCACACACACACACACACACACACACACACACACACACACACACACACACACACACACACACACCCTTTAGAAAATATCAACTCAACTCATGTCATTTTGCCTTTGGTATTCTTTTATTTTTCTCAGACACACTTCATCAGCCGCTGGTTTCACCCACGTCCCTCTACCTGGTTCCTCCAGTTTTTCCTTCTTACACTGGTCTGTAGTTTGCAAGATAACAGTCTTCCCACAAAGTCGATATTCATCCCTCTAGGATCAGTCATATGTATTTAGTCCATCTATTTGACTCTGGTCTTAGAAGTTTGCTTAACTTTTGTGCTTTATAATTCAAAATAGGGAACTTGTTTTAAGTGGGCTGTCTCTGCAGGAAAGGTGTGAGTGTGTGCATGTGTGTGTGTGTGTGTGTGTGTATGAGTGTATGTATATTTGTGCATGTGTGTGTGCACGTGTGTGTATGTGTGCATGTATGTGTGTGTGCACGTGTATGTATGTGTGCATGTGTGTGTGTGCATATGTGTGTGTGTGTGTATGTGTGTGTGAAAGGGATCCAGATGGAAAAATACATTATAGATTTAAGCAGAATTCCTATTATCAAAAATACCATCTTCTATTTTTTAATCTCCCCAGATTTTCTTGTATCTTAAACTATTTCTAGCAATTTCTGTTACATGTTTGGAGTTATAGGAGAGTTTGTATTTTATATATGTCCAAGTTTGATGAAGATACTTTCCATGCAGTAAATATTTCTAACTTTCTGCAAGGATTTGGAAATGTACCAGGTGATAAATGACTAATTAGTCATTGTATCCGTGCCAAGAGGAAGGCTTTTCTGACTGATCTTTGGAACTAAACAAATATTTTTAAAACAGGAAGAACATTATCAGTCAGAAGACATCGAAGCCACAGTGTCTGAGCTGTAATGAGGTCCTCTGTCCATATTTGGACCATATATTTCATATCTAATTGTCTCCCCATAAGTCTCCATGTTGTCAGAAAACACCCAATTAGATTTCCACAACCACCTTGTCTCCAGCCAGAAGCTTTAATCAGTTGTTTTCAGTGGCTAGCTCACCCTAGGAACTTACAGAACATGAAACTTAGGAAAGGAAAAGGATGTTGGGGAAGCTAATCATCTCTTTTCTCTTACAGAAACAAGGACAGAATGTCCATGAACAACATCTTCTCAGGGTCTAAGCCGTCTGGCCCTCGATTTACTGGGGGTGGATTTCCCCTCAACCAGCCATCCAAGGTGAAGTTGTAACGGGAAGCTGCTGGCGGGGTCAAACCCAGCAGCTCAGGAACACTGTGGCAGCATTGCCTGTAAATCCCTCAGATCCCAGATACCTAGAAAAGCTGCTGCTCAGCTCTCCAGAACGGGACAGAATGGACAACTATCAATGTCTTATACAGAGGAGTGATGATGTCATACCTGAAGCACACCGACAGTAAGAGACTGTAACTGAAGCTCTTTAATTAGGCTGACCCTTGGCGGAAAGCTGATCTTTCATTGCAATCCCACTGACTGACTTGAAATGCAGGTTTAGAAACTTGGGGTGGATGAAGCTTTGGGTATTAGTTTCTCCATTGTAGATATTTAAGCACTTGAAGATTTTTGTATATAAAAATATTTTATATGTAAAAAATGCAGTGCATGCCCTCACATCTTATTAGTGAAAATCTATTTTAATTATTCCTCATTAACAAGTCATTGAATGAGATGAGAAAACAGGACACATTACTGGGATTTCAAAAGTATGTATTGAGAGTGATTTCCATGTGGGATGTCATTTCAGGCCTGGGGTAGGAAAATCTATTCTGAAGAGAAATGCCAATAAATACTTCATCATAAAAAAAAAATCTTTGTAGAGATTTTGATCTTTGCTTTGGTAGAGCATGTCATTAAAGTTTAAGATGACTGAGAGAAATGTTTAACATAAGGATTTGAGCCAAAGGATCCAAGACCGCGGAGTGAAAGCAAGGATTGGCTGCTGTGCTTGGGAGGCCTTGTGCTTGACAGTGGAGTTGTTCAGCAGAAGGATCTGTTCGGCTCTCAGGCCGCCAGACAGCAGGTTGAGCCACAGAATCCACTGTGACTTCTTTTTGTTGTAGCCAAAGTTATGTGGGCATTAGTTCACAGTTACCTTGTTAAATGTCCATTCAGTACTACTGTGGCCATCTCTCCTATAATAACTTGATTTCTGCATTTTTTACATTATCGAGGAGCAAGTATCTCAGCAATGAACAAGAACACCATTGTGGGACATTTGTACACACTGTGAAGATGTATTGCTGTGATTGGTGTAATAAAGAGCTGAATGGCCAATAGTTAGGCAGAAGAGGATAGGCAGAGAGAGAGGAAGTCAGAGGGATGAAGCTAGGTTCTAGAGATGCCAATGGGATGTGGAACAAGTCAGACATACGGGACAGAGGAGAGGTAACTGAGCCATGTGATAGAATGTAGATTAATATAAACAGGTTATAAGAGCTAGTCAGAAAAAGCCTAAGCCAAGGCCAAGCTTTTGTAATTAATAGCAAGTCTCTGTGTCATTATTTGCGGGCTGGTGGATAAGAGCTAGTTAGAAAAAGCCTAAGCTAAGGCCAAGCTTTCATAATTAATAGCAAGTCTCTGTGTTATTATTTGCGAGCTGGTGGTCCTGACCAGATAGCTTACTACACAATGTAAGCAAAACATTCGAATGTTCCATTTGTGTTCATGACTACAATTCCCACGATCGGGAGCATGATCCAAGATGTTTGGTCAGATGGTACAGGAAAATGGGACTTAAAGGAATTCTCTGGATGTCCTGTGGCTCCTCAGTCCACTGAGGCTGGTGCTATTGCTTAGGCGAGGTTCCCCAGAAGCTGACAAGTCACAGAGAAGTCCGTGGAAGTGTTTTACTGTGATTCCACAAAAGCAGGTAAGAGGATACAGAGGTGAAACAGCAAAGGGAAGCACACCATGAGAGGATGGCATGTGAAGTCAAGCTCCATGAGGGAGACCCTGGCTCTGCTTGCAGCCGAGCTCTGAAGACACTCCAGTCACTGCTCAGAGCTTGACCATGAGGGATGAGGGGGCTTGGACAGTTATTGTTTCACACTGTTAGTCACCAGCCAAGGGCTGTTCTGGAGGGATCCTTCTGGTTCTCTCTGCCTGTAGGCAATGCAGGCCCCTGTCACTCAGTTGCAGGCCTGGGACAGAGAGGCAGCAGGTGTTGACCACTGGAAGTGGATGTGGTTAAGAGATCAAGGGGACACGAGATAGGTCATGTCATCCTATGCCGTCCTCTCATTTGGACCAGAGTAAGAATGCCAGGTAGAAAGCAACCTTGGTGTTTGTGGTGATATCGTGGTGCTTGTAATCCTGGTGTTAGAGACAGAGGATCAGGAATTCAAGGCCAACCTTCACTACAAAGCCAGTCAGATTTAAACCTGGGTTACAGGAGACCTTGTTTCAAAACAAACAAATGAACATACAAGTCAGTAGTGTTAGGTAAGGTGGTATATGCCTGTAATCCCTGCACTTGGGAGGCAGAGAAAGGAAGATCACAAATTCTATCTCAGTCTGGACAAGAATGGGCTGTACGTATCTTAGTGGTGAAGCCCTTGCCTGGGGTGCACAGGGCTCTATTTTTAATGCCAAGCACTTGAAAAATAATCATAGTGGAACCAATTCCATTTCTAAAAAGTCACTGATCATATTTTCCCTCAGAGAAATAAGTTGTGTAGACAAAGCTAACCCTTAGGATTTCCCATCCATGCAGAGATGTTTTCTGAAGTATAGCTAAGGCCAAGTTCATTCTGAGCTGTCGGGAGGGCTCTATAAGAGGTTCACCTGTGACTCTAGATCTATCCCAGAATGGCAAAGACTCTGGAGACATCTGGGTTCACAGCCTGACTCATAACAATGGACTGTTTTGAAGAGTGGATGAGTTCCATCACACAAGCCAGGCATAGAGTGGGCAATATGTATATGTATGCATATACACACATACAGATATATGCACATAAAAGATAACCAATGTTTTGGAATTGGAGAAGAAATGTTGCTGCATAATTCTTACAAACTATAAAGGTGATTCTAAAATGCACATACAAGGTAGGTGACATTCAAACGTCTGGATGAAGCTTGATTTGGTAATTAATTTACAACCGAGTATCCTGTAAAATGCCACATTGTGTGCTTTATGAAATTTCTATGTATTATTATTAAGATCTGGGGGAAAAGAAAATCTGACATAAAATAACAATGTATCATAATAAACTTACACACAAAAGTTAAAAAAAGCCGGGCGGTGGTGGCGCACGCCTTTAATCCCAGCACTTGGGAGGCAGAGCCAGGCGGATCTTTGTGAGTTCAAGGCCAGCCTGGGCTACCAAGTGAGTTCCAGGAAAGGCGCAAAGCTACACAGAGAAACCCTGTCTCGA